ACGTATTTAGGAATTAAATATTGATACATCTAAAATATACTATGAACCTAGTAACTAAAAATTGAAAAAACAGAGCACGATTAAACTCATAAAACAACAAAATTAGAATAATTTTGTAACACTCGCTTTTTTCAAAAATAATAGAATAGATAATAACTCTAAAATATGTCTTTATTAAATTTATACAAAACTTCATAACTCCAATAATAAAATAAACATCCAAAAATATCAATAAAAATATAAATCGATAAATTTGAAAAGAAAGAAAAGAAACATCCTAAAATATTAGTTTAAAATGCACTCCTGATCAGTTTTATCTGAAAGAGAAAATAAAAAAAAAGGAGAAATGCATAACAAAAAGCCACTAAATGAGATATGAGATGCTAGCGTGCAAATCATGACTCAAATAAATAGAATTTCCACTAGGAAATTTAGTTCGATTATGAACAAACACAATGTCTAACGTATAACATCAAAAAAAAATAATGCACTAATAGTACATGACTAGTCCAGGCACTCTGCATCCCCTCATACGGGTATATATATACACGAAGCGTCATTAGTACAACATGTCTTTCTACCCCGTTTATCGTCATCAAATGTAAAAGTTTCTGCACTACACTCCATACAATAGTGTTGAGGTTCAAACGTCTATAACTCACGCCCTACATCGTAGCGTCGAAGTCTAGACATCTCTGAACTCACGTCTCACACATAGTTCCTACACATAACTTTGTACATATATATTTAGCATAATTTATCATCACACATTCCAATCAACAGTTGAATCCTCTTGACCGCTAGTTCCAGTTTACAATAAATGAACTAACTATCAAATAAAACTTAATTCAAACAAACAGATCATGTTGCAAAATCTGAACTACGATATAAAAAAAATTCTACATTATATGGGACTTACGGAATAGATCCTCACCTTACAAATGTGAAAAACTGGTATTTATGAACTCTTACTGCTTAAATAGACTACAAATCTGAAACCAGAAAAAAAATCGAGTCCGAACGCCCTTCGAACGGTAGAGAAACCAATAACCGGTGATCAAGACAAAAGGTCAACATGTACAAATATAACCCAAGTTGGTCAATCCTTGACCAAAATTGAAATCGAATTGAACCAGCCAGTTTTTCTAAACCGAATTTGATTTCAATTGAACCAGATCCAAAATTAATTGCAACCCGGTTAAATCCTAACCAGAAATCAATTTGTAATAACTGATCGCTCAAACTGAGAATCAATTTGCCAAACCAAACCGGCTTGACTGGTCAACAAGCTGACTTGTTGAGTCAACTCAGTTGAGTGGCGGAGTCAGTGGTGAATTCTCAACCGGTGACCACTCGCCGGCGGCAACGAAAGGCAGTGGTGGCTTACCAAAATATCACGAGCGGCGGTGGAGGCACGACAGCGGACAGACGTTGGTCGGAGACGATAGCTCTGGCAAACGGTGGCGCGTGTTCTTCACGCGCGGTGGCTCCGGCGGACTGCGACGACACGTGGGTTTCATGTGCGGGTCTTCTGGCAGTACGGCGGCTGAGGTCAAAGGTCAACCGGTGAGGTCAACTCTGACCCAAGCCGGTCAACCCTTGACCACATGGATATCGAACTGAACCAGCCGATTTCAATTAAACCAGACCTAAATTATTTGCAAACTATTTTAATCCTAACAAGAAATCAATATAATAACCAACCAGTACTCGTAAACCGAGAATCAATTTGCCATACCAAACTAGCTTGACCGGTCAACGAGCTGACTCAGCTGACTCGCTGAGTCAACTCAGACGAGTCGGCGATTCACTGGTAACCATTCGCGGACAACGACCAAAGGTGGCAGTGGCTCACTTGAAAATCAACCGGCGGCAGCAGAGGCACGGCGGCGGCTACCTAGCGGCAGATGGATGGTGGTCAGAGACGGTAGCTGTGGCAAACGGTGTTTGGAAACGATGGTGTGTGACCTTCACGCGCGGTGGCTCCGGCGGACTGCGACAGCACGTGGGTTTTACGCACGGGTCTTCTGGCCGTGTGTGCCAGCGCGTGGCGGCAGCTCTTTGGCTGGGCTTCCTATACCGGACTCGTCTTGACGTCACAAACATGATGGCGACCTTGAAATCACGAGAATCCAAATGGTTAGAGAGATTTGATCGATTTATCAAACGATTCTCAATTTAGACCAAGGCTACGGATGTTATCTTCTACGGTTAACGGCGGTTCACTAAGTAATCTCGACAGTGAAGACAGTGGTGGAGGCTGGACGATTTCAGTTCTGCTTGACGGTTCAGTTTCTAAAGAGGTATGATGTTTATGATTTTTCTAAATAAAATGATGAAGCAATAAATGTTTAAAGAGAAATTTACCTATGGTTCTCTGCGATGGGACTAAATCTTGTTGGATCCTACAAATTGGGTCGTTAAAATTTATGGGGAAATGATACTTTATTGGAAAAGGAAAGTAATGAAGAAAAAAGATTTATGGATATATACGAATATTCTTTGATTTTTGCCAACTATAATTATTCAAACACTAAAAATTTTAATACTTAAAAGCCATTATGGACCCCTTTTACTTGCGCTCATTACTTGGACTGACCATGATCACTCACCATCAATTCACATATACAAACTCTGAAACCCATAACCCACCACTGATTAACATTTTTTTTTGTGTTAACATTAACTATTTCATTCACCAACATATTGGTACAAAATTTTTGACCAATTGGTTTTACCACACATACAACAATGCATCTTAGAAACAACCTAGAATACTCACTAGGTGATTTTTTACTCGGATGCAGCGCAATCTAGAGAACAATGCTGCATTTTTCACCACTACGAGAATGAGATCATCCCAATATCCAGAGTGAACCGTCTTTTAAACCACTAAATTCTACCACTAAAAAATAGATAGCAAAGAACATAGCCTTAGCTATGCCTAAAAACGACCACTCGGCACAAGAACACTTACTAACACAATGACAATAAACTTAAACCGATAAACATTAGGTTTCTAAACTAGCAGGCCATGATGATAGGAATGACGTTTTTGGCCCAATAGTACCGGTAATAGTTCAAAACCACCAGTTTTCAACTACTCCGTTCCTCAGCCTCAAAACAGACCAGGATGTTCGATTGAAAGTTCGGTATTTGGTGTCAGGCACTAGCCGGTACAGCATATCCAGAGATGTGAGGCTCGTACCGCCGGTTGGATACAGAAAGTACTTCCCGGCACTGGGATGTAGAGCTCCGCCACGGACCGCCGCTAGGTCGACTTCTCCGGTTGACCACTCCGTCTTCATCTCCCTTGGTGTGTGTTGTCTCCGAGAACCAGAAGACAAATCTCTGTTTACAGGTCTTCGGTTTCTCCTCCTTGAATCTCACCATCCCATCGGAATAGAGATCTAAGGTGGAGGAGGCGTCTTGACTAGTCACGCGTCGTCACCGCATAGGATTCACTGAAGATCTAAAAGTGGAAAACTAGATCTGGCTATCATAAACCCTTAAAGGCGACTCCCTCCTCTTCGCCGCTCCACGAACCTCACCACTATTCCAAAGAAGGCCTGAATCTGACGTCGTCACCCGCAAAGCGCAGATCTACGACTTGACCCGATGAACTCAGAATCGCAAGTATATCGGCAAGGGAGAAGAAGCGTCAAGGAAGAGAGCAAAACAAAAGAGAGATTAAGGGAAAGGAGAGAGCCTCCGAAGCTCGAGAAGCCGGACCGGAGCTAGGGTTTTAGTCGAGTTTCTAGAAAGAGACGAGAGCATTAGTTTTTAGAGAGAGAGGTTTTGTCTCACAGTGGATTTATAAAGCTCGAGTTTTTCACCACTGATTAACATTTTGGTTTCGATTTACTAAATGAAATTGAATATTTGCACTAAAATCAGGTTCGATTTAACCAACCAAATAAAATTAGTTTCCGCACTGGATTTGTTCGTTCTCCTCAGATTTTTCCTCTACTAAAGTTGCAGCCCTGCAGTTTTAGACTCTAACCTGTTATCTCTCGCCTCACCGACTTCGAACTCTCCAATTTCCTTCATTGTGATGTCCACCTTGCACAAGAAAAGTTGCTCTTTTACAATTTATTCTCGTGCCTCCTTTTTTCACCAGTCTTTTCGCTTGTCCGTCTAACCAAAGCGTCAAAAAAGATAGATCGGTGCTCTCCAAAACTTGCCAAAGGGATATATAATTGTTCACATGCATCGTAGCATATAACATTTCATAGTCCATTTATTGATTTTAACATTTCATAGCCCATTTATGCATCGTAATATATAACAAGATAGATCGGTGCTCTCCAAAACTTGCCAAAGGGGTATAATTGTTCACATGTGTAGTTGGTTAATTATAATTTTTTGGTCACTGCATACAATTTCCAGTTACTTGTTCTGAAGGAATCAATACTGTTTCTTTGGTCAATAATTATCATTGTACGAAGTTAACTCATTTTATAACTATCATATTACATGCAGTATTCCAACAACAATGTATACTTTTATGTGGCACAAAATTGTGGAACAGAGCTCCATAATTACGCTGAGACATTATTAGTGAAGTGGGACACCACGTGAAATAAATTACATATGGACACCCAAGAAAATTTAGATTTGATCTGAGGAAGTTGTTAACCAGACACAACTTATTTGAATTCTGTTCATTTCCATTTTCATTTTACCTAAAATGTATATTTATTCACTAACTCAAATATTGATTTTCCTTTTCTGAAATTTGGGATATATATCCATTTCAAGCTAAGCTAGCCAGCAACTTATTTTACCCTGTTTCCTCCTGTATTTCTTCAACGTCCAACACAGAAAAAGAAAACCATAAAACAAATATATATAAATATATATATATACATATATATTATTTTAACAAACTTATTATAGTAACAAAATAAAATAAAAACAATATGAAGAAAAGCATTTCTCTTCACTATAAATTCACGTTTTCGCTTTCATTCTTGTAACAATAAACTCTTTCTGTTTCTTCTCACGTCACATCGGATCTACAAAGAAACAATATTTTCTCCTGAATCTCTCAACTTTCTGTTCTTGTCTGAATAAATGGAGAATCTCTCTCAAGTCCTCCCTCGTGTCCTCGTCGTCTCTAGACGCACCGTTCGGAAAAACAAATTCGTCGACTTCGTTGGTTCTTCTCTAACCTCTCTGTTTTGTTGCATGCACGGTTCTGTTTTTGTGATTTTAAAATCGAAAGTTTTGAACGTATGTTTCCGTGGGTTCTCTATGTTTTCCTCTGTTAATGTCTCTTTGGATAATGATAACCGTAAGTTTTTATTTTCAGGTGAATATCATCTTGATTTGATAGTTCGTTATGGATGTGTACCAGTAATTGTTCCACGAGTCACTGGCGTTCACATGTTGCTTGAGAGCTTCAAGCCAATCCATGGAGTTCTTCTTTGTGAAGGAGAAGATATTGATCCTTCTCTTTATGAATCCGAAATATCTTCTCTTTCACCGGATGAGCTTCAAGAGATTAGAGATACACATGCGAGTGATACATCCATTGACAAAGAGAAAGATTCCATTGAGTTAGCTCTTGCTAAGCTCTGTCTCGAGCAGAACATTCCTTACTTAGGAATTTGCAGAGGATCACAAGTAATATCCATGTCTCTGTTTTGGAAGTTTATGTCTTTTGCAACTTTCTCTAGAATTAAAATGTTAATGATGGATGATAACACTTTTCGCAGATTTTGAATGTTGCATGTGGTGGGACTCTTTATCTTGATTTAGAGAAAGAGCTTACGAATAAGTTACCGGAAGAGCGTAGAACGAAGCATATAGATTATGATAATTATGATGAGCATAGACATGTTGTGAGGATTGTTCAGAACAGTCCACTTCATTCTTGGTTTAAAGATTCGTTGGATGAAGAAAATATGGAGATTTTGGTTAATAGTTACCATCATCAAGGTGTGAAGAGGTTGGCACAGAGGTTTGTGCCAATGGCGTTTGCTTCTGATGGATTGATGGAAGGTTTTTACGATCCGGATGCATACAATCCTGAAGAAGGGAAGTTTATAATGGGTTTGCAGTTTCATCCTGAAAGAATGAGATCAAGTGATCTTGATGATTTTGATTATCCTGGTTGTCCCGCTGCATATCAGGTTTATGTTCTTGAAAATTAATATATGCATTAATTGTGGTTAAAAGAAACTTGTAATTGAGATTTTTTATAAGGTGTTTTATGATTTTTATTTAGGAATTTGCAAAGGCAGTGATTGCGTATCAGAAGAAGTTGAATAGCTCAATGTCTGTTCCAAAGACGTTGGTACTTGACGGAGAAATGGAGAGTAAAAGAAAGATACTTGTTCGATGTTTCTCACTTGCGAGGTATATGTATGCTAAAGGAGCACCTGGGAAGAACCCGTCAAAAGTATCAGAGCTCGAAGTTGGAGCCGAGTTTCTTGAGGTAAAGATTGCCAAATTTCTGTGCTTAACTTTACGTATGTTGAGTCAAATATTGATGCAAAAGGCAAATTGGTTTAGAGAATACATCTTTGGCCTTTCGCAGACCTAAAGGCTAAAGGGGTACATAGTAAAAGTTGTCTTTTTAAAATACGGCTATGAATTTCGGTGGGGATTAGATAATGCCTATGGTTGTTGTGATGAGGCAAGGGGATCCCGGACCGGGCCAGCTCGTTTTATACCGCAATTCCAAACACTTTAACTGGTTATGATTTCGGTGTTTGACACAAACATACATGTGGGAAAACCAGAAAAAAAAAAAACAAAGGGAAAGTCCTAACCTGTAAGGTCTTTGACGGGTTTAAATCTAAACAGGAGAGGGCTGATCATCAGGGGCCAGGGTGTTTGTCCCACCTCAATAACTCTTTCTTTCTTGACAATTCTTTTTGTTATCAATGTAAGGGTTTCACTCCCTTTACCGAGTTAAATAAAGTTTTGGTATATGGTGTGGGCTGTTGCAGTCAAACACGGCGCTAAGCACGGAGCAAGAAACGAGACTAAAGGAGATGGGAGCGACGGTAAGGAACGGAGGATCATATATGAAAAAGTTGAAAGTAGACGAGGAGAAGCAGAATATAGTGAGGAACATGATGAACAAGATGAACACAGAGCAACTCTCAGACCTTATGGCCTTTTATAATTTGATGGGGAATATCTGTGGAGAAGTCTTGGAGCAAAGGCTCCGTGGTAATGTTAGTGAATGCTTTAAGGACATGTGAATGTTTACATGAAAGTTTAAGGACATGTGAATGTTTACATGAAAGGCAGAGCATGCTTTCAGAAATAAGGCGACTTTGTGAATTTGCCAACAACTTTGGTTTTGTAAATTTATTAGTAATGCAAATACAGTGACGATTTAAAGGTTTTGTGACACTGCCACGTTTATCATGAATTTTGGGATTAAGAGCATCTGGAACAGGGTATCTTGAAGGGTCTTTCACCAGAAAAATATACTCCCTCCGTTTCAGAATATGTCATTCTAGATTTATTTTTTTGTCACAATTAAATGTCGTTTTAGAGTTTTGAGGAAAAATTTATTAGTTTTATATAATATTCTATTTTCTATTGGTTGAAAAGTAGTTAGTTATATAGGTAATTGTGTATTGGTTGAAAAGTAGTTAGTTATATAGGTAATTGTGTTTTTATCTTGGAAATATGTAAAATTAAATATTTCCTTAATCTGTGTGTAAAAACCTAGAATGACAAATAAAGTGAAACAGAGGGAATATTAAATAATGAAAAAACGATGAGAAGAGAAAAAGGGGGAAAAGAAAAGAGAGTTAAAAGACTTTCTTCCATGAGAGATTCTAGTCCCTATTAAAGAAAGTCTTATAAATTTGTCATCTATAGTCCCTATTAAAGAAAGTCTTATAAATTTGTCATCTATAGACAAATACTTTTTAGAGTTAAAATAATTTGTTTGACAAAAAAAAAGAGTTGAAATAATTTTTTGAGAGACTCCACTTAGAAGTTAGAACAAAGTTGCTGAAAGTATAAAATACTGAGAACATAAACAAATAAATCTCTAACACCCCAAAATCCAAGTACAAAATTTCTATTACCTTAAAAGGAAAAATTCATTAGATTCATGAGTCAAAAAGTTTATCCTAGGATTCCCTTCTTTTTCTTCCATCAAAAAACTATAGCAAAATTATGTAGAGATTTTTTGAAAAAAAAAAAATTATAGCCGTCAAAACTCTCATTTTCTCTCTTACGTCTCTCTCTCTTCTCTCTCACGCCTCTCTCTCTCTCTCTCTCTCTCTCTCTCTCTCTCTCTCTCTCTC